GGTGGCTCCAGAGAGCTGGGCCAACCACTTCCATTTACTATGTGCCAAAGCACACCAGATGCTGCAGGAATGCGAGGAATCCCAGTTCCCAGGGGAGGCAATGGAATGCAGCTTCTTCCCAATGGCTTCTCCCTTCCTGCTTTCTGGGGACAGCAGAGGGACCAGAGGCATCACTGGGAGCAGGGAGCCTCCACCCCAGCCCAGAGGCCTGGAAATGGGAGGACCCAAGGCTCCCAGAGCACCTTACCAGTGACCGGGGCAGCGTCGAAATCGATCAGTGGGGCGTCTGTGTACTCTGGAGCAACGCCTGGGACACCCAGGCCCGCACTGGTGTCCTCGTCATCGTCACTATCGTCAAACTCAAAGGCCTCTCCAGGGTCGTCCTCCGCCTCTGGGGAGGGGCCTGGGCCTCCTGCAGGAACCAGCTGATCCCCTGGAAGGGAGGAGGAGTATTAGCTGGGCTGCAGGGTCCCAGGGGTAGGCCAAGGGGGAGGTGGCTGGAAATGGGTGAGCAGCTCTGCAGGTCTAAGCGAGGGATCGAGAGCAGTTCCCAGAGACTAGATTAAACCCACGCCCAGGCCAGATGGCCTTCTGTGCCCCTGAAGTGTCCTGTGGTTGGGTTAGAGCTCTAAGGCAGATTGCCCTGGCCCATTTGGCTCCATGGTTAGGGCGTCGGCCTGCAGACTGAAGGGTCCTGGATTCGATTCTGGGCCAAGGGCACGTTGCAGGCTCGATCCCAGGCCTGGTCCAGGGCATGTGCGGGAGGCAACCAATCAGTGTCTTTCTCCCTCTCTCTTTCTCTCTCTCTCTCTCTCCCTTCTACTCTCGCTGAAAAGCAATGGAAAAAATATCCTCAGGTGAGGAAAAAAGTAAATAAAAACTAAAAAAATCAGCAGATAGGGGTGGACGGAGAGGCGGAGCGCGCGAGCTCCACGGTGAGCGTGTGTGCATCTGTCCTTGAATGCGTCTTTCATACTCTTGTTTTCTATTTTCCTATTTTGTAAGTAAATAGGCGATTTGTTTTTATATTTATTTTTTTTAAGCCAAGCTCTGGCCATTTTTAATAAAGGACAGCTTTGCACGATTTACTTTTCACCTGTCTGTTCTGGCGTGCTTTTACCGATGCCAGAATCACCTGGGTCCGTGGCAGCCAGTGTGTGTACTCTGTAGCCTTTTCCACACGCTGTGCCCAATTCAATGTCATTGCCACAGCAGTGACGGACCCCGACATGGCCTAGGGCTCCATTTCAGACCTCTCAAGGCTGGACAGGTGCTCGTGAGGATGACCAGCCTCGCTTTGCCTGGTCTGATCCTCAGACTCTGCTTGTACCCCAGCACGCACTTCCCACTCTTCATAACCCGTTGGAGCTTGGAATTGATCAACTCCCGTGACTTTTCCGTCTCTTTGCGGCCACCATCCTCCTGCCTTAGGTGCAGGATGGCCCCCAACCAAGAGCAGCCGCCAAGATGGCCGGGGAAACGAGAAAGCAACAAGGGAGCTGTTTAAATGCGTCTGCACGTGTGCAGGTACACACGTGTGTGCTTCCATGTGTGCATCTATGGCTGCGAGTTTTGCATGTGTGCCAATGAGCACATGCAGACCCGTTCTGCACCCTGCACTTTATTTGCCATAAAACACAGCTGCCTGGAAGTGTCTGGAGCCTGAAGGTACCAGCTCTCAGGTGCCAGGGCGCAGACTGGCTGGGGCAGGGCTAGGGGGCCGTGCTCCCAGCGTGGAGGTCTGCCCAGTGCGGCCTCACGCCCTGTCCCTCCCTCCTGGGAGACCCCCTTCCTGCCCATGTCCTCCTGTTGTCCCCTCAAAACTCAGTTCAAACAGAGGGACTCTCCCCGCCCCTGACCCCAGCCACCGCCCTAACTGAAGGAAGCCCTGTCCTCCTTCTCTGTCTTAGCCCCCTGCTCTCTTCATCCACTCCTGTAGAGCATGTAAGGGTGTGCTTTGTGCCCATTCGCACTCCCCTACCAATCTGGGGCCCCTTTAACGGGCCAGGTCCTGGCCTGGCCCCGGGTCGGAGCCCAGCAACTTTCATAAACAAGTAAAGGAATAGATTCTTCATCCTGAAGTGTAACAAGCCCTTGCCTTTCCTCCCACTTCACCCGCTGAGGTCCCCAGGCTTCGTCCCTAGAATCTGGGGCAGGACAGAACCTCAAGCATTCACTCAGCCCATCCTGTCTGGGCCCCCTTCCAGCTGTGTGGTTCTGAGGCAGTCACTGTACCTCTCTGAACCTTGGTTTCCTCCCCTGAAGAATAAAAACAGCCCCTACCCCATGAGGCCAACATGCACATGGACTGAGATGTAGGTCAGGTTTCTCAGCCTCGCCACCGCTGACATCGAGGCTGCGTAGTCTTTGTTGTGGGGACACTGCGGGCCCTGTAGTAGCACTCCTGACCTCCACCCACGAGAAGGCAGTAATACCCTCCAGCTCTGACAACCAAAAACCTCTCCCCATATTGCCAAGTGCCCCCTAAGGGACAAAATCGCCCCTCCTTGAGAACTGCCGGGTAGATGGAGGGCTGGGCATCGTGCCTGGTATTTGTGTTACATAATAGCACCTGTTGTAACAACCGCCCCTCCCAGCCTGAGATCCTTGAGGACAGGACTGCCTGGTCCATGTGTGCTCACGGGTGGAAGACAAGTGCATGGGCAGGGAGGTGTATGGAGCAGAGAGATAGGTAGATGGACCAGCAGACAGACAGATGGACAGATCTGATTCCAGCAGTCTCTCTGACCAGAAAAATCCAATCCCTCCCCGCACGGTGACCTGGGGGCCTCCAGAGCAGAACATTTTAGGTGCAAATATATCGAATGCAAGAAGCCCCTTCCTCAGCTGCTTTGCTGCAGCAGAAACCGAGAGCTCACCCTCCCTCCCCAATTTCTATGGGATGATGACAGGTGGAGGCCATTGAGGTGGGGACCCAGCCCCTCCTGGGAGCTCTGGAGACTCCATGGGCCAACATCAGCAGGTGGACTCCTCTGGGCACAAGCTCCTTCCCCAGGTGTGGAGAAATAATCACAGCTGAGAGCCTAAAATGTGCCCCATGGAGCCCCCTGTTGAAGCCTCACAACCACCCCCCTTTCACGCAATGGAGCCACAGGGATTTCCAGAGCTAAAGTGATGTGTCCTGCTAATAAGTGGGGAGCTGCATCTGAACCCAGATCTGGCTTTGCTCATGCCCCATACTCTTTCCACTAAGCCCTGCTGCCTCCTGGAAGTCGCCTGAGCCCTTGCACACCTGGCCCCGTGATGATGCATTAGCAAGGGAAACGCAGGGGCTGAGTGGGAAGCCAGGTTAGTGGTTTTCAAGTGATAGTTCTCCACCCCCTGGGGGGCCATAAAGTCAATTAGGAGACTCTCAGGCAGCATTTTGTTTTGTTTATGAACTGCTTATTTTAGATGTTTTTAAATATTATAATATTCATAAAATCACATTTAGTATTACTTTTGATATTGTCTTTTACACTTCTGTTTCAGTTAATATAATATATAAAACTGTCTCAGCTTCATGTAATGTGTGTATGCAGCCCTATTCATGTGTGTGCATGTGTGTGTGTGTGCATGTGTGCATGTCTGTGCGCATGTGTTGACATGTGTGCGTAGAACCTCCTACTGCTCCCTCGCTCACTCCACTCTGGCCACACTGTTCTCCTTGCTGCACCATGAATGCTCCACACAGGCTGCTGCCTCAGGATCTTGACCCTCTCAGCTCCAGGGTCCAGAATGATCTTCCCCCAGGTGTCTGTCTTCTACTCTCCCCTCCTTCAGGTCTTTATCACATATCATCTCCCAGCGAGACTGCCCTGGCCCAACCTGCCCATGGAGACACTGGGGCTCCCTGTTAACCTTGCCTGCTTTACTCTTCTCTGTGGCCCTTACGAGTATGTGACATGCTCAAAGTTTCATTTATTTTACTGTCTGTCTTCTCTATGAGAAAACAGCCTCATGAGGGCAGGTATTCTTGCCTATTTCATTCACTGTTGTAACCCCAGCATGTGGTACAGTGCCCAGCACATGGTAGGCACATAAGTATTTGTTGAATTCATACACACATACACACTCTCACTCCAGTTGTCATGTCTATGGGTTGTGGGGATTTTTAAAATTTAAAAAATATTGAAACAAATGACCACAAAGTCCCTGCCCACCATTTCTGGGCTATAGGATACAGGCCCATCCTGACTAAGGGGGCTCAGCGCCCTGGTCCCTGCCTACTGGGATCTGCTGGGCAGACAATGACTGGGAGGGTTTCCCTTTACACTGGCCGGTATCACTATAGTGACTACAGTCAGGCCGCCTGGGTCAGACTCCAGCCCTCACGCTCACTGGTTGTGTGAGGGTCAAGTTAGTTTACCCTGCAAGCTGCAGTTTCCTGGTCTGTAAAATGAGGGTAATAGCAGTGAACCCTCACAATATTTGTTTACACAAATACTTATGTGAACTAATACACATAAAGCACCTGGTGCCAGGTATGCGCTCACTGAGTGTCAGCCATTCTTATGATGATGACTCTATTCATTACCACTGTCATTACGTCGTCATCATCACATTATTATTATTATTATTGTTATTATTACTATTGCCCTGAGTCATAGCCCAGTCCTTGACTGGGGGTGAGATGGGCAGGCCTTCCCCACTCACAGGCCAGGCCCAGACCATGTCCAGGGACTCGAGTCGTTTCCGCACCTTCTCCTTTTAAGAGCACAAACGGCCTCTGTTAGCCCATCAGTCAACACAATCACACCCACATCCAACGAACTGGTCCAGCAGCCCCCGGACCAGGAGGCTCAGGGAGAAGATGGGACCGATCAATGTCAAGGAGCTCAGTGAGGGGTGAGGCAGGCAGATGCAAGAGGAAAAAAACATAAAACCCCAGAGAGTGAGCCAGTGCTGAAAGAGAGGAGGGGGCTCAGGCCAGCAGGGGCCTCGGGCACAAGGCTGCCCTGCACAGAGCCCTGGGGATGAGCAGAAGTCTGACAGGACCAGGTGAGGACAGGTGTTCCCAGCTGAGGCCACAGCAGGTGCCAAGAACAAACATCCAGGAGCCCAGTGGAGCTGAACACGTGAGCAAGAATGAAGGGGCTATAAGATGACCGAAGAGATGTTTCAGGGAATCTGAATTTTATTTGGTAAGATGACAGGAAGCGCCCAAAGAGGCCAAAAATGGCCAAGAGCCTGGCTCGACCAGATGAAACTAGCCAGCGATATCAGACAGAGCTGGAACAATAAATGTCCATCAAATGTTTCTTGGATGGAACTGAATGGATTTAATCATAAAATGAATTTGTTCTCTTTCCACGTCTGGCCCCCTAGGTAGGTAGGAGAAAGGATGCAAGGTGATCATGGCA